AATTCTTATTCTTTTCCGAAAAATTATTTTTTCGAGAAATTTGGTTTCCGTGATTTTTTTTTCCGTTCCGAGAATTCTTTTTCCGAGAATTTTTTTTTTTTTTTTTTTTTTACCTTGTTTAATTGTTAAATGTCTGCATTTTGATAATTTCGCAATTCTTTTTCCGAAACTGTCCCTCTACACTTTCACTGCGTAGGTCTGCAAATTCCGTTTTTTTTTTCAACCAAAAAAAACGGCATTTTTTTTTTTTTTGCAACCTCCTCCTACTCTGAGTTATAAAGACCCTTCTTTTCTGATTCTCTGCAGTCCGAGCACCGAAGGTTCACATTTGCTTTCTGCATCACCTTCGGTACTCAGTGGGATTGGACAGACTTTTTCCGAATTTTAAAGTTTTGTTTTTCTTCTTTTTGATTAGGAAACTGTTCAAATTGGGCTCTGTCTGATCCTTCCCACTTGTCAACTTCCTACCTATTCCTCCCCCTCGAGTCCGGGTACTGGGCCAGTCCATCAGATTGGCCCTCGGGTGACTCTTCCGACTGCGGGCACAACAGTGCATGACACAACTCACTCGATCACAGACCAAGGCCATGGACCGGAAGGTGGGAGAATCCCTCCTGGCCTATGAGGAACGCCTGGCGGCATTCATTTAGGAGGCCAACGATAGGGCCGCCGCCGCGGCCAAGGAACGTAATCGGCTCAAACAAGAGGAGGAGGCCAAGCGACAGAAAGAGGAACAGGACCGACTTCGTCAAGAAGAGGCACACCTACAGGCGGCAGCCTAACACCGGTCACGCCAGCGGGAAAGACTGTTCACGCGGGAGACCGTGATCGGCGATGAGGCCGCACATTGGGTGGAAGTGACATCTGCAGACGGGGCCCCAGAGACAGAGAAAGGGCTGTCAGCCCTTGCGCAGGTCTCCCACGACCTCGTGGCCACCTGCGCTCTGCAGCAGGAGGAAATCCTTCACTTGCAGCAGGCAGTGGACCAGMTGCTCGCACGGCTGCAGGCGTTGGAGAAACAACCAGTTGTTGTAGCAACCGCAGGGCCTTCCACCCTTACCACCTGTGTGCAAGTTTTGGAGGATGACGTCAGCAACATCAAGCGTGAGCATCAGGACTTCCGGACGTCGCAGCAAGCAACGAACTCGCAGTTGGAGACGCAGGTCCAGGCTGCTGCCACCGTGACGCCCGCCGCTGCATTCTCCCGGCGCCCACCCAAGGTGGATGGCATTCCCGTCTTCTGCGATCAGTCAAAGACGGAACTGATCCCGTGGTGGTGCCAATTTACTCTCAGGCTCGACATGTACCATGTCCTGAACAACGATCGACATCCGTGCTTGTACCACCGATCTGGTGGTGCGTGTAAAGCATGGCTGGACAACATCTTGACCAGCCACGGCGTAGCAGTGTCGGAACCGCACACCAAACTCACTTGGCAGGAGTTGACTGACGCTTGGCACAAGCGATTCCAAGTGGAGCCCCCCGACCTGCAAGCGATGGACAAGCTCAAYAAGCTCCATCAGAACACGCTGCTCAGTCAGGACTGGATTACCGAGTTCCAAAGACTCGCCTCCACMCCTGACCTGCCGCTCGCATTCCGCGCCATCAAGCACTTGTTTATCATGCGCTCGTGTCCARCTCTGCAAAACGCGCTGACGCAGATTGCAGAGACACTCGACACATCTGACAAGCTTTTCAGCRCAGCGTCACGGATCATTCTCACGAATATCGAAGCCCGCAACGTCGGCCGATCTTCCGCGATGACAAGCGGCACCCAGCCCAAGCCAAAGGTGACTTGCATTACTTCTACCGAGGCTGCAACACCAAACGAGGGTGAAGTGTTGGCAGCTGCCTGGGATGGTGGCCGGCCGCGCAACAATCACGGCCGCGACAAGACGAAGACTCAGTCCACCTCTACACCGAGCACCGGATCAGCCGCCGATGAACCTTGGGCACAATCTGGACTCTCGGCGAATTCTTATCGCACGAGACTTAAGTACTGTTACTGCCTTTGGTGCAACAGCACCATCCACGATGCTGCACATTGCCCCACCAAGGGGAAACCCCGTCAGGGAAAGTAGGCGCCGCCGAGGGTGACTCCACACCTCCCTCGACGCCATCGGAAGCGGTTGTGCGCACGACCGCCCTTTCTTCCGAGGGCATATGCGGATGTCGGGAGTCTTCCACGTTCGTTCGAAGACTTCGCTTCCCGGCTCGTTCCTTCACTGGATGCTTCTCAAGGACAAGATGCATGTGCGGCTTTCTCACCATCCGAAGATTCTTCCGCCAGTTCGTCTTCATCAAGGGATTCGGCAAGCGTGTTCAACTAGGAGGCCTTGGAGCCGCTCACCCCCGAGGACTTCGCTTGGATTCCTCTCCCTACGACGAGCAACCTTCCGGGGCCGCAAAGCGCAGCCCTATCCGCCCTCTTACACGAGTATCTTTCCTTCCATGCACCACCAACTTCGCCGACGGTAGACGAAGTCGCGGTGGGGGATATGCTTGGCTACGTTGCCAAGGTGGCCCGCGAGTTTGTCCCGCAACGGTACGAAGAAAACAATGCACCGTTGCTCTACGTTCGCATTCAGATTGGGCAAGCGGCCTGCAACGCTTTGCTAGATTGTGGCGCAACTCGCAACTTCATCAGCCAGTCCTTCATGACTCGGGCTGGCCTTGGCGCACAAGTACAGAGGAAGTCATATCCGACGACGGTCGCTCTTGCCGACGGTAAGACGAAATAACTTTTAGACCGTTACATCTCGGTTGTCCCGGTGTACTTTGCACCGCACGCATGTGAACCCGTCACTTTTGACGTGTTGGACACCGACTTCGATGTCATTTTGGGGATGCCTTGGCTTTCTAGCGCGGACCACACRGTCAATTTCCATCGACGCACGCTCACGATTCGTGATGCAACTAGCGCCGAGGTCCCGTGTACTATTCCTCCTCGCTCTTCCATTAGGTGCCAAGTCGTGAGTGCCAAATCTTTTCGAGACACATGCCGTTCCGAGCATGTCCAAGAGATTGGCATAGCTTTGCTTTGAACCGTCCTGACGACCGATTCATCGCCCACAGAAGTGTCTTCCGAACCCCGTGTGACCCGGTTGTTAGACGAGTTGTCAAATGTTTTTGAGACACCCTCCGGTATAGTGCCGGACCGGCCAATCGCTCACGAGATCATACTTAAGGCCAGGGCCGTGCCACCTAAAGGATGCATTTATCGCATGTCCGAGGAGGAGCTCACGATTCTCCGTGCGCAACTCGACGATCTACTCGACAAGGGTTGGATCCGCCCTAGCAGCKCACCTTACGGTGCGCCYGTTCTCTTCGTTCGGAAGAAGAACAAGGACCTTCGACTTTGCATTGACTACYGACGCCTCAACGCGCAAACCATCAAGAACGCGGGGCCTCTACCTCGCATTGACGATTTGCTTGAGCGGTTGGGCGGCGCCAAGTACTTTTCGAAGTTGGACCTCAAGTCGGGCTACTATCAGATTTCCATCCGCCCGCAAGATCGGTACAAAACCGCGTTTAAGACGCGATATGGGCATTTTGAGTGGGTAGTTATGCCTTTTGGCCTCACCAATGCCCCGGCCACCTTTCAGGCGGCCATGACCACCGAGTTTCGCGCTATGTTGGACCGCTTCGTTTTGGTCTACTTAGACGACATCCTCGTCTATAGCCGAACTCTAGAGGAGCATCTCGAGCACCTTCGCCATGTTCTAGAGACTCTTCGGTCAGCCCGGTATAAAGCTAACCGCGACAAATGCGAGTTTGTCCGGCAAGAGCTTGAATACTTGGGTCATTTTGTCTCTCCGGAAGGCATTCGTCCATTGGCAGACAAGATTTAAGCCATCCAGGAGTGGCCCGAGCCGAAGAATGTGACGGACGTCCGATCCTTCCTCGGCTTGGCCGGTTATTATCAGCGCTTCATCAAGGGTTACTCGAAGATCGCGGCCAACCTAAGCAAGTTACAAAGCGAGGAGCGGCCTTTTGACTTCGACGACAACGTGCGCCATTCTTTTGAGACACTCAAAGCGGCACTCTTATCCGCCGAGGTGTTACATATTTACGACCCGCTTCTAGCTACGCGCGTCACTACCGATGCGTCGGGCTATGGTATTGGGGCCGTCCTTGAGCAGCACGATGACACGGACTGGCACCCGGTCGAGTACTTTAGCAAGAAAGTACCTCCCATGCATTCGATCGACGACGCACGGAAGAAGGAACTTCTTGCCGTCGTCCACACCCTCAAGCGTTGGCGACATTTCCTCCTTGGTCGGAAARCATTCCGATGGGTAACGGATAACAATCCCTTGGTATTCTACAAGTCGCAAGACACGATTAACAGTACCATTGCCCGTTGGATGGCTTTCATCGACCAGTTTGACTTTTTCCCCGATCACATTCCCGGAAAGTCAAACCGTTTTGCGGACGCCCTCTCACGGCGACCGGATCTTTGCACCGTAGTCTACTCTACCTTCGAGATCGACGACGACTTGCGGGAGAGCTTCATCCGCGGCTATCAAGCCGACCTCCACATTCGCGACAAGTACGCGAATCGCTCCTGTCCGAATCCGGTGCCTTCGCATTATCGGATCCAAGAGGGCTACTTACTTGTGCATTCACAGGGTAAGGATCTTCTTTGTGTGCCGAATGATTCATACTTGCGCACACGGCTTCTTGGCGAGTTTCACGATGCGCCCGCCTCCGGATATTTTGGTATCAACCGTACACTTGGCCGACTTCGCCAGCGGTTCTATTGGCCCGACCTTCTCAAGGACGCGACCCGCTATTGTGAGTCGTGCGAAGTCTGTCGGCGTTGCAAGTCACACAACCATCGTCCGTTCGGCGAGCTACACCCATTACCWGTGCCCCTTGGGCGACGGGAAATAATTGCTATGGTTATCACCGGCCCCTTCCCAAAGCACAAGACCGGCGTTGATGGGATCCTCACGGTCGTCGACCGCCTCACCAAGTACGCCATGTTTTTGCCTTGCCGCTATCATGCAAAGGCACCGGAGTTAGCCGAGGTCTTATACACCGGTTGGATTCGCTCCAAGGGCTACCCCAAGGAGATCGTTTGCAACCGGGACACTCGACTTCTCTCCGACTTTTAGGTCCCCCTCGTCAAGCGATGGGGCTCATCTTTGAAGCCGAGTTCGGCTCGCCACCCGCAAACCGATGGTTAAACGGAAAGGGCGCATTAGACCGCTCAAATCCTTCTCCGCACTCTCATCCGTCCTGACTAGGTTGATTGGGTTGAGCGCTTGCCAGACGTCAAGTTGGCTTACAACTCATCGATCCACCCGGCTATCGGGATGTCGCCATTCGAATTTGAGCACGGTTCACCCATCTCATCGCCGCTGGACGCTACTTTGCCGTGCACAGTCGAGAGCGACGACCATCTTGCGTTTCTTCGTCGCATGCAAGAGTTTCTTGTCAAGGCACGGGATCAGATGTCGAAGACGCAAATACGGATGAGCCGTCAAGCAACCCGCAATCGCCTTCCTTGCCCGTTCCGCGCCGGCGATCTGGTTTGGGTCTCCGCAGCGGAGTTCATCCTTGAGAAAGACATCTCTCGCAAGCTCCTTCCCAAGTGGATGGGGCGTTGGCGCATTCTCTCTGCAGCTAGTGATGATCCCGAGGGGCCCTCACTCCGCATCGCGGTGCCATCTCACTTGCCCGTCCACACGGTGTTCCACTGTTCCAAACTCGCTCCTTGTGTTTCAGCGGAGTCCGACGAGTTTCCCGGTCGACGTACGCAAGACCCTCCTTCCATGGACGGATTTCAGGAGGCCGGCTACATGATCACCGACTGGCGCCATGGCAACAAAGAAACAGAGTTTCTACTTCATTTTTCCTACTGCAGCCACAAGGCTGACCGTTGGCTGACGCGTTCGGAACTGCAGGCCACAGCCCCCGCCGTTCTCTCACGCTATCTTAGCAAAGGGAAGACTACGCAGAGCACTCCGGCTCCTCACCATCCCCGCTACATTCCGCCATCGATCGGCAGTTTCGCCCGCGCCCCGGCTCGTCTTCATAAGGAGGGGGGGGTGTTACATGCTGTAAGCCTACACACGGGCCCCTCACGGGACCCGAGGTTGGAATAGGGCCCCCAGGTCGCGTCACCGCAACCTGAAGGCCCTATGGCATTTTTACTTG